CGTGAAAAGGGTAAGAGCTTTACATGAAGAGTTCAGTAAAAAGGGAGTTTTACGTTTACATATTCACCAATTGTAACTGCTGTTTTCTTTAGATCTTAAATATATATGTTTTGAAGTAGCATTTTATTATTTAATATACTTTAACAGATAATTAAGCCAAGAGTACATACAATTCATGCATTTATTGATTCTCATAAATCTATGGTACACTTGAAGATAGAACATAGAGAAAGGCAAATTCAGAAGAAAATAGGAAGAAGTCAATGACTTTGTCATTTGTGTCCAGGGTTTTTGCATTATCTCATCTTGGAAACAACACTGGATTTTAACATCATAATTTTGTGTCCAATTCCATTTCATTATTTCATATGCCAGATAAAGTTGAAAAACAAAATATATTTTACTTCGATTTTTAAAATCTATGCAAGAATGGACACGTTGCTTGATTTTGGTTTTCTTATCTATGATTTAGAGAGACTTTTTAAAAACATGCTTAAGAATCTTTTAAGTTCTATGATTCTATGTAAATTGTGTAGATATTAAAAGAAACAATCATAGTATTACTATTTATTTTAATGTGTTCTAAGGATGTCTTGACTCTGTTTGATAGAAATTTTGTCTTTTTCTAATAAAACATTAGAAAAACAGATATATGTGAGTATATGAATAAAACTAATAAACCTATATGAATAAACACATTTAATACTCTTGAAATTGATAGTGACTCAGGGAGAAAATAGAATTGCCCTTTAATAAAATACACACAGTAGATGTTTTGCTCTTTAAACAGTGTAGTTAATAGTTAAAAAGAGAATGAATTATTTGTAGTGACACCAAATAATTGTGTGTAGGAAACCTTAGTCAACGTTTGCCTTTGTTATGCTTTGTGTGGTTGATGAAATTCCACAGCAGCTAAACACAAAAAGCAGCGTACTTATTAAAATCACACACAAAATATCCTTCTGCCCTTATGCTTGTTTATTTTTCTAAGTTTCTGTTTGTTAGAGATTGTCTATTATGGGAAAATTAATTTAGAGATGCATTTACACCTACACAGTCACCCATTTGATTTCCAGATACTTCTGGAAAAGCTCACTGTTGGTTAAATGAGAAGTGTGTGAGCCAATTAGCATACAGTTGAGTTTAGCTGATTTGCATATTTCTGTATCTATTACTAGAAGCTACTTTGTCACTCAAAATTGTGTTATTTGGCAAATTTTTTAAGTTATAGCAATGATTATGATTAAGAAACATGACTATGTATCAAATACAAATAAACCTCACTCTTTTAAATTACATTTCCCTCAGTTGTGTATCTGGCCTCTAAGGATATTAGCAACTTTTCCTGTCTGCTTTTTAATAACATTTCAGGGAAGACATTCAGTATATTTGTTACTTGGTAGAAGGAAGAAATTTTGAGTTTTAAATGCACATATTTGACTTTCTCAGATTAGGATGTTTTGTAATTGTTAGTATGACCTGACAACTAAGCAGCAGCAATTTTATCATCTTCCTATTTATATCATCTGTAACGTAAAAGACAACTTCACAACCCTTTGAAGAATCTTAATGCTTGCCAAGTACGTTTCCCCTTTGACATTCTTAAATACAATATTTTCATCTTATAATCATGCCATGTGACATAAAATCAAAAATATGCCCACCCTAGTTGTGTAAGCTGTTATTTCTCAGAGTAGGGAAACTGTATTTTATGTATCATGTTTTAATAAGTCAGACTTTATTGAAAAGAGAATTAGACCATTTACTATGGGACAGATAATACATTTTTTCAAAACATGACACAAGACCATCAAAATAGCAAAACTTAATGATTGATCTGAATCAACTGATTGCAAATTGTTCACTCCCATCACCACCCACATATTCCACAGAGACAACTCAACCTAAACAAGGCCAACCTGTGCTGCCAGTGAGACAGGGAGGCCTTCGTCATTCCACTGAAGAAAAGGTAGAGCATTGGTCTGTACACAGAAAGAAGCTCTGTTGTCACCTTAGGAATGTTAGGAGAACAGAGGCTATGCTAGGATTTTACCACATTCAGTCTCCCTCGCATCTCTGGAAACACCTCAGAGTTGAGACTCGGTAATTACCTTACCTTCATTACTTAAAGAAGGAAGAACTAAAGAATGTGATGTAACCTACATGGAAAAAACTTTCCTTGTAGGTCATTAACTCCTTGCCTTTTTTTTTTTAAGTGAAGTAAGAAGAAATTTATAATCTTCCAGCCCCTGCTCTCCTTGCTTTGAGTGAGGGGGAATGAAACATTTCAAGTAAGCTAAGAGAAAGAAAAGTCACAAATGAGTCACCAAATGGAATAAAATCTGTGCTTTCATCAAAACTTTCTGTGACTCATCGATATTTTTTTCTCCTCCACAATATACCATGGTAAAGTCACTGTCTTAGTCACTCAATCAAGGGAGAATTGCGTTTGAGTCTGTTTCTAAAAATGAAGCCTTAAGATTTCTGAGTGAAAAATGATTAACTGTATTAACTCAGTTTGCATGCATCCCAAACAAGAAGGGAAAGAAACCTGATATGTAATTATTGATGGCACTGAAGTTCAAAGATGGACACAATCACTAACTTTGTTTTCTCGTCCATTATATTACATGGTTCTCTTCTTGTGAGAAGAAGTATTCTGAATTTTGTGGGTTTCCAAAATTTTGAAGTCTTTTTTAAAAATGGATAATTCTTAGGATCTGATTTTATGGTTGTATAATATGGTAAAGGCAGTAAAGAAATGTAGAAATCAAAATTTGTTGATATGAATAAAAACCACATTTCTCAAAATATATGAATTTATTAGTGTCCTTGATTGACGTGTATCACTGTCATATGGTTCCCTTGATTTTATCTATTTTTTTAAGACAGCGAGAGAGAGAGACAGAGAGAAAGGTCTTCCTTCCATTGGTTCACCCTGTAAATGGCCGCTATGGCTGGCGTGCTGCGCCAATCTGAAGCCAGGAGCCAGATGCATCTTCCTGGTCTCCCATGCAGGTACAGGCACCCAAGCACTTGGGCCATCCTCCACTGCCTTCCTGGGCCACAGCAGAGAGCTGGACTGGAAAAGGAGCAACCGGGACTAGAACCCAGCGCCCATATGGGATGCCAGTGCCGCAGGTGGAGGATTAACCAAGTGAGCCACGGCGCCAGCCCCCTCCCTTGATTTTATTAATTCAAGTCAGAAACTACAAACCTAAGTATCTTGAAGTAGAAAAATGTGATACATAGACCCACAGATATAATAAATGGTAAGGTAGTAAGAAAAATTAAATAATAAACCAACAAAAATGTCTTCTAAGAGCTCAGAAAATGAGCAGATTTCTCCAACACCAGATTTTTCTGAAGACTCAAAGAAGGATTTAAAGATCAAGTGAAACAATGGTTCAGATAAAGTGAAAACTTGTCTTTAAACAAAATGGACTATCTCTTATACATATCAAGCTGTTTTGAATTCTGTGTCTACTTGAGACTTTATAATAACGCAGTGAAAATCATACTTATGACATTGTATGACATTCTAATGGATTAACCAGAGTAGTTCTATACTACTTAGTTATTCTGGGAAATGTTCAGCCTGGAGTCAAGGACCTTTGTGCCTTAGAGGTTTGTTCTGAATTTTCCCTCACCTCATTTAGGAAGTTCAGTGAATGTGACTTTGGGAACTCAGTCTCAGTACGGGAAGATCATCACTTCAAAGTGCAAAAAGTGCCATCATTGTGGCCTGTGTCACATAACAGGAAATGAAGAGTAGCACCATGTCCTTTCTTTCTATTTTTCCTGTCCATGGTTCTCAGTTCTTGACCCTTCTGTTTTCTTCTATACAAGATAAATGACCTTATTTTATCCTCCTAATCCCCCAATAAAAGCACTGAACCCAACTTCTTGGGGTTAATGATGTGATCCTCTCTGGCCATCTTCCTTCTCAAACTCTTTGTGCTGTTAGAATTTCCATCTGATTGTTTTGCTGCTTGCCCATTAGTTGGACCCTCATGGAGAAAACATTAGGCAAACAAAGAACACAATGTTTTAGGCACTGATATGCACATATGTGAAATTTATATGAAATATTATATATGTGTGTGTGTTTCCAGAGCAATATCCATTTTGTCCCAATCTAAAATGAAGTTCATCATCTCTTTTGACAGTGTTAGGTGATTCTGTCCGAAAACTGAACTACAAGATTTTCAGAAAAGACATAATATTTACTATATTCTTAATTTACTATCTAGAAGAATTTATAAAATACCAAAAGAAATGCACACACACACACAAACATGGTATTTGATCTATTTATAGTTTACCTTGAAAGAACTGTTTTTACAAGAATCTAAAAATTAAATATTATTTAAAATGCACCAAATCTTTTCTTTTGAAAAATACACATCTTTTAAAATAAATATTTGATTTTATCTTAGTTTTATTGATTTCATTGAGTTTTCTTAAAGGTTGAAGGTTTTAAAGCATGCCTAAACACCATTAAGTTTCAGACATGTGAAAGAAATGGATTAAGACTTCATAGTTGCAATAGTAGGTGATTCCAACAATCTCCAAGAGAGTTCATATTTACTCAGTGTAAAATTCTGGGTTGATATTTGCTTTGTCTATACATATTATCTAGCATTTACCACCCTGGTCCTAATCAGAAATGCCTGCAGTCTTTCCTTTTCCAACCATAGAATATTCAGCAACCCAAAAGAATCAGATCACATAGATAGTTTCCTCCAGGAAGCAAAACCATGGAACTTCCAGCCTTTAGGCCTAGCCCAAGGACAAAATAATAATAATGATAACATAATAACTCACAAGTACATTTATACTTTGTCTTGTATGGAAGCTTTTTGAGAAAATTTAATCTTAAAACATTTTTCACAGGGAGAGATAAAGTACATATTAATGGTACTCTTCAACAGAATAGATAACCTTTGTGACTCAATGTAAGATTTTGATATTCCAGAAGCTCCAAATATGTCCTAAGATTGAGCTTTAAGGAACAGGTATCAGATTTAATGAAACTGAATCTTAGAAGAAATCAATTACCTTTCTCATTGATTTTCATGGGAAATTATGAATGTCTCAGTGTACTCGAGATCAGGAAATGCTCCTCTGAATTCATGCCAGGAACCAAGATCACTGAAAAAAAAAAAAAAAGAGAAGTTAATTCTGAGAATAGGGTATTTTTAGTTAATGTGACTAAGGGATTATGCCATTGTAGGTAAGAGAAAATTTATATTATCCAATGATTCAAGCAAATATTTCTTTGGGGAGTAATTTTTTTTGTAAATCTTTACTATTCAAATGAAAAGAGACGAGAAAAAGAGATGAAGAAGCACATTTTTATCTAATGAATCACATCCTAAAATGTGACAAGCAAGCATAGTAGAGATATAATAAAGATTTCCTATAGTTAGAATTACTACTTATTTGCATAATCCCAACATCCATATGTTAAAACAATATGTACCCACATATTTTTTGTTTCTAAAAAAGAACAGCAGGAAAAATAGCCATAGAGTTAAAATTCACAGATTTAGAAAAAATTATATATGAAGTCTATGTATGCTGCCTTGAATTCACTTTTCCTTTATACAAAGTTTGAATATAGAACTATTTCTTAGTTTTATGCCAACTTTTGGAAAAATGAGTCATAACAGGTAAAGCTATTGGTTGATACAGAAAATATAATAACAGTAATCACATTTTGACATTTCTATTGCACCTTTCACCTTGAAAAAACCAAGGCAATTAACCTGAAAGTCATTTTTATACTCAGGATTTGTAACCCCCAATGAATCCAGTTATATTCTAAGTTACCTGAAAGGATGAGAAAAGCACCTGTAACTGTTGACCTGTCAGCCCATGTGGATGGCACCTTCTACAAAAGCTCTCTGAGGTCTGATGAGTGTATTTGGTCACTTAAATTACATAAAGTTAAACAGAAAATTAAGGTCATTTTATGTCCAAAAGTGAACCATATAACTTCACTAGCAATAGATACTAGTTAAACATGTCTAGCCATTAAGTAATTAATCTGTTAACCAAACAGGATATTAGCACCTTAAAGTTTTAATGGCCCTTCTGGGCCACATAATTCAAATTTCTACCAAGTATAAGAAACATTTTCATTAATATTTATGTTGTGTCAACCCTTCATCTTAATCCTTGTTAGATGGGCAATTCTAATTGTCAGCTGAATATATTATTGTCTATGGTTTTAATCATTAGACACCTCTTTTTCATAGGGCACATAAAAAGTAGGTTCTTACTTTCTAAGGTTTTACAGGTGGTCCTTAAAAATTTAAAATATCATTCTACAGAGATTATGTCAGATTATAGCCTCACAAATGTAAAGGGAACAAAGAGGAGGGAGTAGCAAGTCTATTTGGGTAAAAATGTAGGTCAGAAGAGATTTTTGGACATAAAATACTTGGATAAAATGTTAATCAAAATATAGCAAGTTATAAATTGTATTTACAATATTATCTCCTATGTAAAGAAAAATGAATTAAAAAATTAAAGAGGTCAATATATTAAACATGGTGCCTCCGTGCACCAGAACAGTAGTTGGCTTATTTTCCTTTACATACTTAGGAGAGTAGTTGATTCTTTGTTACTCTGGTCAGGGGGTGGGGTGGTCAAAATGTGTTGCACCCAGAATAAAACAAATTGAGTCTACTTTGGAAGAAGAGAATTTTTTTTTCATAATCACCTCACTCTTAATTTTAATTAGCTAGTTCAGTAAAGGGAGTCTTTTCAGAAAGAAAAGAGATAAAGAATACTAAATGAGTCTACCCTAGAGAAAAACTTAGTAATTCCACTACCTCTACAGCAGTCAGATAACACTTACTGTGTGACAGTTGAGTGTATATCAGCTTCTAAACCATAGCATGCAGACATGTGAAACAGTATTTGCATTAACACACTCCTTATGAAATGAATTTGAAAGACTTTTCTGAGTTGTCTTGAAAAAAAAAAATAAGCAGCCTCCCACAGCTGGCTCCTCTATTTTTGGCTTCTCCTATCCCTGTTTTCATGGCAGCTGAGAAATATTAATGTGAGAAATGTATCTTTTATTTTAATCTTTGGAAAAGAACTCAACAGAAACCCTGCAACTTTAGCAGAAGAGGGTTAGAGTTCTGGGTTCATATTGTGGAAGTACATTCTTGGGATGACTTGGAGGAAAGAGAACATTAGGGAAAATAATGTGTTCCATTAGCATCTGACTTTGCCCAAGCATATGCTGTTTATATCTAATATTAATAAATGCATTTCACTAAAAGGTAACATGTCCCCTAGGAATAATTACTTAAAATAGGTGGGTAATCAATCTCATATATAGAAAAGGCTCAATGGAAAAAAAGAGATCTTTAATTAAATACCATTCAACAGAAGCAAATGATTAATATATCTATTTGAAAATGAGATAATTCAGCTTTATGAAAGACTTTCCATCTGACTTATCCTATTAATGCGTACATACAAAATTAAATGTCCCATGACATTAAGTACCTGTCAAATTTGATCCAGTAAACTGAATAAAGAAAATACAGAATTGTAGTCACAGATCCAAACCACCGTGGGAAGAGTAATGACAAGTTACTTGAGTTTTATTGACTCAATCAGATCATATGGTGAGTCATTTCCAGACATATCGATAAACTCATTGATTCCTCTCATTCTTGTAGTCACTGGACTATAGAAAAAAGGATCAGTAGCCATTTGACCTTCATTGTGTATTAAACAAACACCAGATGGCAAGGATTCATTCAGGAAATCCATTCTTTCTTCTTCATAGTCATGTTCACACTGTTGCTTCCCACTGAGCCTTTATCTCTGTTTGTCATGGTGCCAGAGCTGCCTGCATAGCACCTTTCATGCATCACAGCTTTCAAATCTTGTCCCATTAGTTTCATTTTGTTTCCATCATAAATAATCTCCCACTTTCTCATACACTCTTTCATTATCTAATAATGGGCTGGGTCACTATACAAAGGAACCAAGTATTAAAGGGTTAGTGAGTACAGTTTGTCCACTTGGTTTCTGGCCAGTGTGTAAACTATTTATTAAACAGATAAACTTATACAGCTTTTTAAAAAAGAGACTTAAAGAATACAAACATCCTCTTCCTGCTAACAAATTTTCAGCACTATAAGCATATAAAAACTAGAATAGTTGAATCTCAAATTGGAGACTTTAAAGCACTATACCATGAACAGTAATCTAATTCAACCTAATTATTTCAAGAAACACACAAAAGCAAATACCCTATCCTCAGAAAAATTCCACCACTATTGCTCTCCTTGGCCATTCCCTAGACTCATTTGGACATCAGCCAGCCATCTAGAAGTGTTGAAATGCTGGTGAGCATTAACAAGCCAAGTGACTCCATTCTAAGGGTGTTATGCTATGAGTAAATTTCACAGAGTCCAAGAAGGGAGACTTGTTTTTCTGGACAACATTGTACGCAGACAAAATAAGAAGGCTGTACGTTATTTAAGATCGACAACACTGCAAAGTTTAGTGCAAACATGGAGTACTGCCTGGGTCTCAGCAGAGTGGCTCTTCAGTGTTCACAGGAAGTTAAATGTTGAGCAAATATAGTATGCTAACAGCTAGAATCAGATTCTTCCCTTATTGAAGAAAAAGTTAAGAAGTTTAGAATGTAGTGTGTAGGATGCTGTGAATATGTCAGCACTGAGTGAAATCATCCCAGCCTATTATTCCCACAGGCAGGCCAATTATCAGGGGATAATTGGACTGATAATGAGCATTCTGACTGGTCGAGAGGTCCCTCAGTGGCTACAGCACCCTTTTCCCTTATAGGGTTGTCTTCTGTGCCAAGAATGCCAATGCTAAATGGGGACTTTAAAAAGCATGCTATCTTTGAGGAAAGCAGCTTACATTGATTAAAAATGAAGAGATATATGCTAAATTTATTTTTTAATAAAGGAACAAGGAAACAAGCCATTTTGTATAACACACTGAAGGCAATTCAACTATTTAGTTTTTCTGTAAAATGTTGCTATCATATGAAAGCATTTTAACTATATTTAAGAAAACATAAAAGTCACTCATGACCTGATCTCCCTCATGGAGCCAATTTAATCATTTCAAGTTAGAAACTCATGCAGTGAGCTGGAGTGTTCATATAAGTGATTATTCTATTTACTATTACATGTTGACAGTAAACGCATATTAAGTCCTGTCTTTGCCAACATACTTAACAAATATTTTCTGCCTGGAATATTCTTTTCTGCTTTAATTCAATTTAACCTCTTCTTAATCTTTAATTTCGACTTAATATTCACTTCTTTAGAGGGTTTTTCTGTCTTCCTCAAGCCAAAATTTTATTAGTAATTCTTTTTTACTGTTTTTTACTTATATAAAAAACAAATTTCATGTAGTTCATATATACAGTTTTAAGAGCATAGTGATACTTCCCACCCTACCCTCAAACCCTTCCTCTCCTTTATTTTCTTTTTCTTTTAATTTTCATAGTGACATATACTCAATTTACTTTATAATCACATGCTCAACCCTACACTAAATAAAGAATTTAACAAGTAGTAACTAGAAAAACCGCTGGTCCACCAGAATATAGAATAGAATTATTAACAATCTCCAAATGTCTATTTTGCCCAAATACATTATTTTTTGTACTCTGTGTATGAGCCACCATAACTCAGGAGAAACATATGATATTAGTCTTTTGGGGACTGGCTTATTTTACTCAGCATAATGGCCTCCAGTTGTATCTTTTTTGTTGCAAATGACAGGACATTCTTTTTTACAATGGAGTAGTATCCCATTGTGTATTTAAACTATAATTTCATGATCCAGTCATCAGTTGATGGGCATCTAGGTTGATTCCATATCTTATCATGAGTTGAGCTCCTATAAACATGGGGGTACAGATAACTATCTCATAGTATAAGTCACTCTTATACATTTATATACTCTCCATATCCCTTATCATTCTATGTGGATATTTTATAAATGTATATCTCTTCTGGTCAACAGTGATCTTCATGAGTGCAAAGTGTTTCCTCATTTGCCAGATTATTCCCTAGAAAAGCACCTAAAGCACACTAAACACACCTTAATTCAGAGAATGAATAAATGAATGAATTCAG